TGATGGAGTGCCGGACCAGGGTGGTGATCAGGCGAGTGGGGCGACAGCTACGGCTGGGAGCCTCAATGTCCCTGATATACTGACGAAGCATAACTCGGTTATTGTGGCTATCTATGGCCAAATTTGCATTGCTACGAAGAGCTATCAGAGTGCTATTTGTGAGTTCCCCCTTTCATGTGCGTATATGCTGCTTCTTGCTGACGTTGTGGATAGTCTATCTGTTGCATGCATACGATTATTGCCCCGACGATCCGATGATATGCCTGTGCTTGGCCATAGCTTCCATTGGTAGGGCGATGCAACGTCAGTCAGATAACCGACATCATCTTGTTACACAGGTAGTTCTGTCCGCTCTGAGCAGGATTATGGGACTAATAATCTGTTTCTTTTTAGGCCATGGCGTTCCTAACGCAGTATCGCAGTCTGCGAGGAAGAGGCATGCAGAGTGTACGGGAAGTGGAATACAACTTTTCCAGGACTTTCCATCAGCTTGGTCCATCTCATCCTCCTGTTGTTGTGTGGCTTCCTTGCTAATTCTATCCAGGACTCTACTCCTATGCGGTCAAGCATTACAAGAATGTTCTTGAACTTGCAGAGAAGAACAATGTACACCTCCCCCTACTTCCCTGCATGATCAATGACTGTATCGTAACAGGACGCAAACAGGACGACCTCTTCACCAAAGAGACCGCATACAACTTATCCCTGATCTTTGTCTTCACTGACGCCACTCACCTGGCGAATGCTTTGTATCGTCGATGGCTCTCAACATGATCAGAAGAAAAAAAAATGAATGAAAAGTAAAGTATCAGCTCTATGTAACTGAATAGCTGTAGTTTATCGTGTATGGTCTGTTTATGCTTGCTGCAACCCCTCGACTCACGTTGACTGAGCCTTTCCAGATGATGTCCTTAACATTACAAGCCAAGGGAGTGTCCTTGTCAATGGGTACAAATTGGGCATTGGATTGGAATGGGCAGACAGGTGTACCTTTGCACAGTGATTTGAAATACGAGTTGTGAGAATGCAAACACAAGGTAGGTCCGAGTTGTCTTCTTTCGCCAGCTCCCCTCAACTAAATTTGATAACACTCAGCCATGCCTCGGTGCTTGAACGTGAAAAGAATTTGAAGTAAATTCGTCGTCATCA